CATGCAACTTTGTAAATTATAAGCAATATTCATGCGAATTGCAATCATTTGATCAAATTATGAATAAATGTTAATTGATGAGAATTAAACAAATAATTAAATAATGGAAATGTAATTAATGAAACTGTTTACTTATCACAATTAACATCACTGAGTTCTCGGCAATTGCCACTGATAACATTTTGTACAGGTGCGCATTTGCACTGGAAGCAACCATTTGAATCACGCAATAAGCCATTTTCACATCGTAGTGGACAATGCTCCAATGATGGACAAATTGCTGGATTTACTATTACGATTGGTTCTAAAAATATTGTACAAATCGTTCTTTTTACAGTTATATCTTTTGAGATTTAAAATTGAGAAAAAAAAACATACGATTAGACAGAAATGAACAAAAATTAGAAATGACATTGTTGGATTTTATTTTTTTTAAAACAAAGAATTTATTAGTTGGAAATTTTTTAATGAAAAAAAAATCGCAAACGATGAAAGGAAGAAATTTTAGAGTTATTTTAAACAATTCATTAAATGGTAAACTAACCATCACAAATAGGACAACATTGGCCTGGAATTTTTCTTGGATTATCACATTCTACCTGACACATATGTTTTTGACAATAATGTATACCATCTGGACCACAGGAGCAACTAAATTTAAATTATTTGCTAAATAAATATTAGTCAATAAAAATTTGATAAATAAAAAAAAAATTTAACTTTCGGACAATAACTGGAATTAAAAGAATTTCATAAATAATTGCAATTATAACACTGTCCTTTTTATTTAATCGAATGCAATTCAATTCAAAAAATAATTATTATTTTTTTTGTTATAATTTTCCAAGAAATAAAATGCAAAATAAGATTGTATCAAATTCTCAGCTCTGCTTTTTCCTTTAAACTAATCTAAGATTGAAACTTAAAAAAATTTACAGAATGACTAACCTTGTACAATCATCTTTTTGCCATGTTTCATTTCGTTTATGCTTCTCACCATCTGCTTGACAGCCAAGACACACTGGACAACATTCATTTTCCGGTATAGCTACCCAAGTACAATGTGCTAAATGTTGAAAATTCAATGTACCGTCTGTCAATAACTTTATTATATTTTACAGTCAAAAAAGATAGGATGATTATCATAAACACTGAAAAAAGGACGAAAACATTTGCAATAAAAAGAACTGGATTAAAATTTGAATTCAAATTTGAATAGCATAGATTTTAGAATGTTTATTAGTTATTCATTTATTTTCATGTATTTATTCATTCGTTTCAAAACAACATATTAACATCATCTGTTTATTTATTTATTTTTACTAATTTTATTTATCGATCGATTATTTTTCATAATGAATTTGTAATTTATAACATTTGCCTTTTTTATTTTTCGTTTCATTTTAGTTCCGATTTTGTTAATTAATATAGAAACAGTAGTGCTTATATAAGTTTGGAAATTTTAAATTTTAAACTTTATTTTTTATTTTCTAATTATTTTATCAATCATAAAACTAACACGGAGGACTGGCACAGGTCATTTTACTGCATAATGCAATGCCACCTTTACATTTGCACTGCTCACAACTACTTGTATGCCATTGTTCACCGTCATCATATATTTCACCATTGTATGGACATCGTTTACCATCTGCACTTAGCCTATCATCACCATCTTCACAGGTAAATCGATCACAACATCGTCCAGGTGTTCCATCACCTTTAAATTAAATCTTCACCAATTTTAACCTTAATCCAAACATAATTAGATATTATAATTTTTGTTTTTGTTTTTGTTTTTTTTTTATGAAGTACAGAACTGTACTAATATTTAAGTTGCAAAATAGAGTAGCGATATTTGTCTCAACCTAATTTAATCTCTTTTAAATTTATTATTTCCTTTAAAACAAAGCAAAAT